AAAACACTCTTCGAAATGCGTCTGCTTTAAGCTGGACGCGTTATCTCTTAATTCAGATTAGTAGCAGCTTGTAGAAAGTCACTTACTACCCTTTTGCGTACGCAAACGGTACTCGTAGACCCGTCAAATGCACAGGACGGGAGTGTTTTTCATGAACTGCAGGAAAAGGTGCGGTCACCTTACACTTACACCGCCTCTTCCTGTGCGACTGTAGACAACACGGTGACTTACTTTCAGCCTAGCAGACACCCGCAACGCCAATTTAGATCGGCTCTTGATGCAGCCATCTACGAACTCCAGTTTTTCGTTCAAGACCTACGATCGCCGGTACGTTACGCAAAATATAATGACGACTAAAATACTCGAGCAGCACCAGGACGAAAATGCCCCCTTAGAAATCATCCCCTGTGGAGATGAAGCTATAGGTGATGGTAAAACGTTATGATAAGTTTCCTTAAAATGACCTTAGACCTGCTGAGACCGGCAGTTACTGTAAAGAGCTATCGTAGCAATATACCGGCGTATAACTGCTAGTAATAAGGCACGGAAGTTCTTATTTAATTATATGAATAGACTGTTCGAGAATTAATAAGAAACACAGGCAACATTAAACATGCTGTCGACAACCGGTTAGTTTAACTCTAACATAACGTGATAATTACTTCTCATCTTCAGATAAAATAACCACAGCATCCGCCGAAGATCGGGTCCAGGCAAAAATGCCTTCGCCTACAGATCAGCTCAAATGGACTCAGTTACGCACATGTACATGTACATATTTCTTCCTTTTTTTATTTTTCCATATTCACTTATCATATTCACATTAAATGTTCGCGAATACTAGCACGTACAGGTCTTACGGCACTAGAAACCCTAACTGGGTTGTTCACACAAAGGAATGATTAATGGATTAAAGCGTTTAGCAGGGGACAAATAAAGCAGCGGGTAATGGATTATAACCAATCGTACGTATAAAACGTATGGGAATAAAACGTAATAGCTTTTACCGAAGTATATTCCCTTTTCTTGCCAGGTGGCCACACAATTCATCTTTACCCAAATGGAAGATCAAGGTTAAAGTTCAGTTTTCCGGCAGAATAGTTTTTAGGGCTAGAACAGTGAAATATTTGCCCTTGTGGGCTCTTGGCCCTACTTATGCGTTGTTTAAATTTATCAATAACCA